GGATAAAACCTAAACGATACCCATCCCTACTTACTAACCGCATTTAACAAACTCTCCGGTCCTCAGATGTAATCCATTACATTTTGTCATGCTAAATTGTGCTAAATGCAAATTACTTAAATCATATTTAGTTGAGTCGTTTTATAAGATACAGTTTTTCTTTAAGAAAGTAAGGTAAACTGATATATCAAGCCAAAATCATTTTATCGCACATGCAGTAAAAATAATTTTGATAAAACAGACGATACCACTATATTTCCTCCTGAAAACATTGGGAAAGGCTGAAAAATCTAAATAAAAACACAGTACAATGATTTGCAAATTATTTATCGTATATTAAAATATCCACTTTGAATTTCATGCACTTCAAGATTGGAAAAGTTGTTGAAAAACAACGAAACAAAAACACCTCATCAGGTTATCAAGTAACACATGACTGTATGTAAATGACTGTCTTGGGGCCACACTCATTTGAAATAAATCAAAGTGGAAAACTGCTCTGGCCCGACTCCTTAACACTTCTTTTTGGGGAGAGAGGCCATCTAGCTTGTTATCAAGCACAGCTAAAAGCCGTGCAGGGGGGCATGAGTGTTGGTCACTCGCACTGTAAACATGTTTACAAGGTTCGGCATCAACCAGGCAATATTTATTACAGGAAGTCAGTGACCACACACCGTGCACGTTTTGACATGGTGCACCAATTTTCAAGAAAGAGTTGATGAAGCTACAAAGTGGGGTGAGGATCAGTGAGCAGACCTGAGGTGTTTAAACTAACCTGAGGTGTTAGTATTAGAAACAGAGCAGCTGAACGAAGAAGGAAAATGCCCGTTTAAACTGTTTGTTTGTTTGTTTTTCATTGTTGTTGTTGCAAATCATTGCATCCTGTTTGTACTTACATTTTTACAGCATCCCAACATTTGCAGAATTGAATTTGTACAAAAATAGGACTGATAATATTTTACACTTTGTATAAAAGAGTTTGATGTACTTATCATAGTCTGTAATCTCAAGCTGGCAACAGTCGGAGTAAACATCGAAAACGCGACTGTTACACTGACATAAAAAGTCTCCATGCAGTAGAGCCCCTGTATACAGTTGTTGATGCACGTACCAAACTCACAAATAATCACAAACACAACATCCACGAGCACAAAATTTAAGAGGATCATTTCTATAAAACAAATCCAGCGTTAAGAGATGCAGTTTGCAAGATTTTAAAACCAAAACCCGTCCTTAAGATCATTAGCTTCTAAAAAGTGTTACGACTGTATATATATTACATACACATATTCACCACTAATCAGTTTTGATGAGTAGTAGTAGTACAATAGCTGCATTTTAAAAGTCATTTTAAATTTATTAACGCTTATTCTGCATGAAAGTATTCCACAACCGCGAGGATCTTAACACAAAAGGGAAATTTACACTAATGTGAACCTAATGCTTTGACTTTATCCAGACGTGAGAAGTAATAAAGTATACCATTTTGTTACTGTACTTGAGTATTTATTCCTCTTTTACTTCTGAACACTTTCCACATTTTCCAAACAGGCTTGTTACTTTTTGTTTAAGATATCTGAAGGATTTTACATCAAACTGGTGTGAGCCTAAACCGTTAATGAAAGGCATTCATGTCACGTAATGTCAGTTAGACTAAGTGTGTGTGTGTGTGTGTGTGTGTGTTGCATGTTAACAAGTATAAGTAGCTTTTACGGGGCATCAAAATAATCCAATATGGCTTTCTGGAACAGACACTATTCCTGTACGATACATATAAAAGGCTATTGTCATAGTTTAATTTACTTATATCCCTAAAGGATATATATCGAAAGGTTTCTGAGAGCAAGTGCCATAACAGCTGATCGATACTGTAATGCAGAATAAGAAACGAATAAACTCTTTAAAATGACTGAGAAAGACAGGATAAGCTTTATTAATGCCACACGTGGGAAATTTGAAAGAGCCAGGAAGCTACTCATACGGATGAAGAAAGCAGCTAATTCCGAGTATATTAATGTAAAATGTCACCTTGCCAGTAGTCTGACACACCTAAAATGAAACATCGGGAAAAGCCTCACATTTTACAAACTGCATCTTTGTAAATCAGTGCAAGGAGAAAACGTACAGACTGCATATCGTCAACTTACATCAACAAATTGCCCACGTGAGTTAGGCATGAGGAAAAGAATTTACAAAGGAAAAGTTGGGTAAGACTGTTGGATAGCCACTGTTAAAGGTCATTTTTATCCATTGTAGATTGTGTTCTATCTTAAAACGTGACGGTACAGGGAGGCAACAACACATACAACCACACCACATAACAAAAAATAAACACCATAATACTGTTTTTTATCTTTTGTTTTTTCCTGGTAAATAAGTTGTTTTGTACAAAAAAATCTGTGTATCTTTTTTTCATTGCAAGAGACTTCAGTGACACCTAAAATCTATTCATGTTATAGTTTTTGCTTAATTTGACATATGTTCTTTAGAATGGATGGATGACTTTATATTGTAAAATCTCTAAAGACAAGGGGAAGGGTGAAGAGGGATTGGGACCTACGAACATATTACATAGGAAATGAGGATGATGAGGGTGACAGTGTAAGTCAGTTGCCATGTCCATGTAAAGGCAGTACGAAGCGGTCGGGCGGCATTAGAGCTTTGGGCTGTAAGGAAGGGATGGGGATATACAAACAATGAGCAATATACATGCCCATCTACAGAAAAGAACAGAAAAACTCTAACACTGACATGTCTCACAAACCCTAAACTGCAACTTCTTAGCCATGCAATTCATTCGTTTGTTTGTTTGTTTGTTTCATTACAAAATATTCTTTCTTTCTTTTTTTTCCTCTTTTTTGTGAAAAAAGATTGTAAAAAATCTGAAAAATGGAAGAAATGTGACAAGTGGATGTGGAACTGCTTCACCTACTAATTTGTGAGTTTCTGAATAGGTTCAAACAAGTCGGACTTTTTTGCATCTTTTGAACGTTGCTTTCGTTGTGACTTAGGAGAGCTTAAAGTAAAACACACAAGCTAGTCACGGTGAAGGAGTTCCAAAGCCCAAAAAGTTAAATTATATGGAAATTGTTCACAAAATAGTAATTTATGAATTATCTGATTTCAAAAAGAAAAACCATAAAAGAATAGAAACAGACTTGTAAAGCCAAAAACATATTCAAAACCAATTGGATAAACTACCAAAAATATGACCAGTTAAAAACTATCAAATGAAAAATGTTAAGATGGAAGAACGAAGC